TGAGAAGTAGGCTTAATTTAATTGGTTCGACCATTAATTAGGATAAGCACCAGCACACGTTAAAAACTTAGGAGACTACAATGTACAATTTTAAAAATGCAAGTGGAATAAGCAAATAATAAGAGGAGTGATTTAAGAGAGCATCTTGCGAATCATATAGTTGAGGATGCCGCCGTTCTGGTAGTAGGTAATATCCACCTCGGTGTCGAATCGCAGTATAGTCTCAAAGACAGTTCCATCGGCCTGCAAAAGTATGCAAATGAAATAAATGTTCTAAAGCCATTAAGTTATCTACATACTTCGACTTGAATCTTCTGGCCAGGCTTCAATCCGGTTTCGGGTAGAGCAATGTTGTAGACCTCACGACCGTTCAAGTTAAGTGTCTCAGCACTTTGACCAGGCAAGAACTGCAGTGGAATAATGCCCATGCCGACAAGGTTGGAACGATGAATGCGCTCGTATGATTCTGCAATGACAGCCTTCACACCCAATAGGAAGGGACCCTTTGCGGCCCAATCGCGAGAGCTGCCACTGCCATAGTCCTTGCCAACGACCAGAACCAACGGAGTGCCTTCCTCGCGATAGCGTTCAGCTGCATCAAAGATGTCGAGCTCCTCTTGGCTGGGTATGTGCAGGGTGCGTGGGCCGGTCTTTGTGACCAGTTTGTTTACCAGGCGAATATTGGCGAAGGTGCCGCGTGCCATAATGGCATCATTGCCTCGACGCGAGCCATACGAATTAAAATCTCGGGGAGTCAAATTGCGACTGGCGAGGAAACGAGCTGCTGGCGAGTTTCTGGCGATGGAGCCGGCTGGTGAAATGTGATCTGTGGTCACAGAGTCACCCAAGAAGAGCAAGCAGCGCGCCTTCTGAATGCTCTGCAACTTGGGGAGCTCTCTAGTCATTCCCTCGAAGAAGGGCGGACGCTTGATATAGGTGGAATCAGCGCTCCAAGGATAAAGCTTACCATCGGACACCTTCAGTGTTTGCCAGTCCTCTGAGCCCAATTCAATCTTGCCTATGATAAGAGTTATTTCAATATTGTTCAAGAATCTAACGACCAATAGACTTACTGTAGACTTCCTGGAACATTGCCGGAATAACGTGCTTGTTCTCCACTTCCTGAATTTCAGTGCGCGTGGGCCAGATATCGCGAAGGAAAACATTCTTTCCATTGCTATCAACGCCCAGAGGCTCCGTCTCGAAGTCAATGTCCACGCGTCCAGCAATGGCATAAGCAATCACCAACAATGGACTGGCCAGGTAGTTGGCACGGGTGTTGGGATGAATGCGACCTTCGAAGTTACGGTTGCCCGACAAGACGCCCGCACAGACCAAACCATTCTTTTCGATTGTGTTCACAACGTTTTCCTCAAGGGGACCGGAGTTTCCAATGCAAGTCATGCAACCGTAGCCCACGATGTCGAAACCAAGCTTTTCCAAATATGGAATGACGCCCGATTCTTTCAAGTAGTAGGTTACGACACCAGATCCAGGCGACAATGAAGTCTTGATGTAGGGCAAAATGCTAAGCCCCTTCTCGACCGCTTTCTTGGCTAGCAAGCCAGCACCCAGCATCACCGAAGGATTTGAGGTGTTCGTGCAAGATGTAATTGCTGCAATGACAACGGATCCGTGCTGCAGCTTGTAAGTCTTTCCATCGTCCCACTGGAATTCGCCGCTGGCCGCAAGGGCTTCTGGCGCAATAGCGAATCCCTTAAAGCCGACCTAAAATGTTGCAACAATAAAAAACGCTGATTACAACTGTGTAGGAAGACAAGTAATTTGGGCGTTCAACGACCCCGCTCTGTCCGAACTATTTGTAGGTCAGTTTGTTTGCGGAAGCGGCGCGTGAGGCCCCATCGGTGCAGGCCAAGCCGGGCCTGGCCCGGGTTCAGAACCCGTTAAAGTCCACTGAGGTGCATTAAAAACAAAATAGCACTTCACAATTTTAGAAATTCGGCATAAAAATATCGAGCGTGCTAGAAAGTAAAGCGCATTCTCAGCGAATTTTGGTAATAACTAAAACCGATCAGCCGCTGCTGCTGCCGCTGCTGCTGCCGCTGCCAATGCCGCTGCTATAGGAAACTTGATGCGCTGGCAGCGGCCATTGAACGCAACGGTGCTTATAAGAGCAAGATGGCCAACAGCCAGGTTTCAGTTCTGAGTGTTACGTGCTGGTGGCTTGCCAATGCCTGCGGTCCGGCATTTCACAACCAACTGCTTTGGTGTGCCCGCTTATGAGGGAATCGCAATTATAAAGCTAACACATCAATGCAATTCGCTGTGAGATCTTGATATAGATCCGAGTGATGCAATAGGTCTAACGTCGAAGCGATATCAATTTATATCGAGTTATCTAAGGAAATAGTAGCCGTGATTTTAAATTTCAACTTATTACATATCACAGTTGCTGTTTCTTTTAGATAGCTCTTTTGTAAGCAGCCTAACAGTCGGTCGCGTTGCGGTTTTGAACTTGAGATTTGAAATGTGATTAAGGATTTCAATTTATGGGATACACTAAGTTCAGTTTTGTCAGATGTCCAAGCATCACTGGGCTTTGTTTATCTCATAAGAGCGAAATTTGTTCAACTTACGGGACTGGACAGGCACGACTTGAAGTCTTCGGGCATGTTTGAAACAGAAACACGATCGTGCGGCCGTTTGGGTCCCGACACAGAGGTCACAACTGTAGACAGATCCAGAGTGATGCTCTGCAAGTAAGTTCACACATAGATAAGAATTTGGTTGAATTTCAGTTGTGCAATCAGCTAACCTGAGTGAATATGGGATCTTGAGCTTCATTGGCATAGTTACGCAATTGCTGGGTGGCCTTCAGATACTCACGGATGATATCAATTTTCTTCTCGGAGCGGTCTAAAGTGGCGATAATTCAATGAGTCGAACAACAATCATATTATTGTATAAGCTTACTTGTTTGCTTCATGTAGCCGAGCGTGTTTTCATCAATGGGGAAATAGCCCACGGTAGCACCATACTCGGGACACATGTTACTGATTGTGGCACGATCGGCAATGCTCAGCTCAGCCACGCCCGGGCCATAGAACTCAACGAATTTGCCGACGACACCCAGTTGACGCAGATGCTTGGTAATGGTCAGCACCAAGTCCGTGGAGGTGGCCAAGGGGCTCAGTTTGCCAGTCAGCTTGTAGCCAATGACTTCGGGCAACAGCATGGAGATCGATTGACCCAACATTACAGCCTCAGCCTCAATGCCACCCACACCCCAGCCCAGCACTCCCAAGCCGTTAATCATGGTGGTGTGCGAGTCGGTGCCGACAACGCTGTCAGGATACAGAATTTTGCTGCCATCGCTGGACTCGGCTTCGAAGACGACACGCGCCAGATACTCCAAGTTCACTTGATGCACAATGCCTGAGCCGGGCGGCACAATCAACATATTATTAAAAGCACGGGCACCCCACTGCAAATCAACGTAGATTGTATTTCGAAAATAGTTTGCTAATGTGTATGTAACTCAATATTCACCTTCAGGAAAGTAAAACGTTCCTTGTTCCGCTCGAACTCCAAGTTCTGGTTCTTAGCCAAGGCATCTGGGACACGGGCAAAGTCGACTTGCACGGAATGATCGATGACCAAATCGGCAGGGCAGATGGGATTGATTTTCTCGGGATTGCCACCCAAATCCAGAACAGCATCACGCATGGCCGCAAAGTCCACAACGGCAGGCACGCCCGTAAAGTCCTATCAATATTTCAATAATTATCAATACTATAATTACAAGGCAGAGTATGCAACGCACCTGCAGGATGACACGAGCTGGCTTGAAGGAAACCTCCACATCATTGGAGCCCTGCTTCAGGGCGGGCGTCCAGCTCAGAATGCTCTGAACATCCTTCTCGAGAATATGGAAGTTGTCGCAGTTGCGCACAGCAGACTCCAAAAGAACACGAATCGAGTAGGGCAACTGGTCTGTAAGCCAATCAGATTATTTTTTTGCGATTACATTTAACGCACAACAATTTTGTTTGTCTAAAGAAACAGACAGCGAGCACTTATTAGGCAATAAGAGGTTTCTTTGAGACGTTTGTTTTTTTTTTTAGCTAGCCACTTGCCCTTTGTGATTGGGTAACAAATCTAGCTTGAACAGCTCTCACCTTAAGCGGCTAAAATCACGCGTCGCACTTTAAAATATTCTGTTCTATGTAGATGCATAAGGAGCTCAAGCACACGCACACATACACAAATTATGTTTTTACACTCGCATGTCTAAAGCATCAGGCCACGAAATCGTCCGATATCAGCAGTTTGAATTTGTCTTGTTGCTACTGATAAGTGTCTACTACATAATACAATAGCTTTATTAACGCACAATCTAGTCTACTTGGGCCTTATCAGAGCAGGCCGGTCTCGTCGTGTGCCTGACATTCACAAATGAACCTTGCCGATCTCTGCCCTCAGTTCCTCTCCTCTCTAACATTAATAACTTTCGCTTTCAGCTAAGTGCTAGGTGTGCATTGGAAAGCTGAGGTGGAAAAGCCGCCGGAGTCTCACCTATCGAACTGCTACTGCTTCGACTTGCAAATTAAAGCGGCCACTGTTGGGGGTCAAACTTCAAATCGTCGTTTTATGCATTATATATGTGCTGTTACATACATACATACATAGGTATTTCGGTAGGTATTTCTTTAGAAAACTTGTTACCACGTAGTCAAGTAAGCGGCAGTTACACATATGACTTACCATATTTGTTATCAATGGAAGCCAGATCAAAGTATTTGTACACGGTACCATCCTTAGTGAAGGATTTCTCGAATTGCGCAAATGGATTAGCACCTGTAATAGAGTATGTGCCCTTATAAGTAATTATGTAACACTCCAAACTAGCTTTATATTATAAGTACGACTTACCAGACATTGTTGTGCTTTCTAATTCAGAGAGATTTAACCTGAACAGCGGGCGTTTACTTTGTGGAATGAACAAGTTTTGGAGGCCTTACCACTAATATGCTGTGTGTGCTGTGTATATGTTTTAGTTACTATTCACGAATAAGAAAAAATACCTAGTATTAATTTCGGCGATAGTTAATC